TATGTGAATATGGGTTTGTTTGGCTTGAGGTTATACATTTGTTGATATTTACAGTAGGGCTGTCACAATATATCAGAAAACAGGTATATCGCAATACATAGAGAATAATACATGCCTTTTTCCATATCACACTCAGTATCAGCCCGTTGTATTCTGTTTATTATATACCTACTAATAAAATAAGGATGGATCTTCTATCTTATGATCTACTTTTCTTTTGAAATTTTGAAAAACAAAAAATTCCAAAAGGGGTTTGATACGGGTTTTGCGGGCTGATACGGGTTTTGGTGTGTGATACGGCGACAGCTGATATGGGTTAGAGCAATTGTGACGTAGCGTATATGTACAAAAATCCCGTATTTATTAGTAAGTATGTAATAAATAGGTATATCGTATCGTACCACAATGCAGAAATGAAATATTGCTGTATCGCAATATTTTTCAAAAGCACATTTTTATATATCTGCTATCTTACTTTGCAAATTACTACAAGTTCTGACAGATATGCCAATAAGCATAAAGCAGGCTTTTAATAGTTCAAATTTTGTAATCGATGGTTGGTTTGACAAAAATCTTCCAAAATCTATGTAAAACATATTATATATGATTAAGTTTGATAATATTCTGACAACAACTTATTATAAAATTGAGCACATCTTTCCTATGACAATATATTCGGGAAAGTATCGCAGTATATTCGTTCTGTATTGCAATATATCGGGATACACTCTTGGCGTATTGTGACACCCCTAATTTACAGCGTGTCACTGACATGCACTCAATAACCCAAGGTGTTGTAACCACATGGCAGCCATTATCACACACTCGGACTTCTATTGTATTTTCTAAATGTGACCCAATTGGTCAGATTGGTCGAGTGGTTAACATTCCAGCCTTCCAAGCAGGCGGCGGGAGTTCGATCCCCGAAGTCGCTGTACACATGGAATATTCAGAGAAAGTGTTTTTTCTCCTGCCCACACAACTCCAACAACCCAGGTGGAGTAAAAATGGTCTGGGGTGGGTGTTGCGGTATCTGTGCTGTAGCATTCAAGTGAGGTGGCACTATAAATGATACCGTTGGAAGCACGGTCCCACTACAAACAGAACACAATACATCTCCAGCACACACACAGGCATACACACATGGGGAGATATTAGCCAGGTGGCATAGGACTAGTAGTTAGTGCCTGATAAGGCAGCTCCTGCGAATTCCTCAATATTGTATTGATTAATATATATTCGGACAAGAATTGTATATCTATGAACTGTAAGGTGCTTTAGAGTGGCTTATGTTAGCTAGATAGGGCGCTATATATCAAATGTTGTATATTTAATTGGTAAATTCTGATAGTTTTTGTCAAGCTAAAGGCTGTTCCAAATTGTTTATCTACCAGAACAGCCAAATGATAGGCCACTTGCATTTAAACATAGACGGCCACCGTTATCCTATGTACAATTGAAATCTGTTGCACAGTTATTATCAATGAATTGAATTTGAATTTTCATTGAATAAAAAATTACTGGTAATATGAAAAATAGTTTTGTGTTTTAATTAAGTATTGTGCCATCTATTCAGTTTCCTCGAGATCATGCTTATAAACCTGAGCATTAAATAGTAATTCTTTTAAATAACTTGTCCTATATTCCTTATACCTTATTCGACGTAATAAGGGCACCTGATCTATAAGCACACCTTTTTTTCTGGGAAAGAGGATGGATATGCTAAATTAGAACCCATAATAAGGTTGCTTATACACTCCCTGATCTACCAATATAATCTTCAGTCTTTTGACCAAATTCAGACTGCCCTTTAGTGTTTATATTACTATGCAATATATTTAATATAGACAAGTTTTCTTGCATTATTTTCTGATTCAGGATTATGCCAATTGTCTCTGTAAAGTTATTAGTCCCCTACCGGTGAAACCTGGGACTATATGTTTCCTCTTCATCCGTCTGTGTACGTACATACGTACGTACAGTACGCACGTACAGTACGCATTCCTTGTGGGATTTGGATCAAACTTCACACAAATACAAAGGACCATAATATCTCGGACAAGTTCGAATTTCAGGATTGTCAGGTCAAGGTCACTGTTACTATTTTTAGAAAAATCCTTGTCGGCGCTCTAGCAGCTTCATTCCATCAGAGATTTTGATCAAACTTCACACAATTACAAAGGATCATAATATCTCAGACAATTTTGAGTTTCAGGGTTGTAGAGTTGAGGTCAAGGCCACCGTTACTATTAATACAAAATCCTGGATAAGTCGAAGCCAGTGATGGACTGATGATCGAGATATAATAATCGAACATCGATCAATTTGTCCTGTTTGATCCGATTATCGATAACAAATTCCATAATCGATATAATCGGTTCATGACGTATACTGAACTTAAAGTGTCAAATGCGTATGTTATACACAGTATGCATGGAAATTCATTTATTCTGATTTTCTTTTTTACAATATGATTGATGGTAATGTAGAATAGAAAAATTAGATTAAATTCAGGTACAAGCTAATTGTATACTTTTCATTTTCCCAAATTAACACCAAAGGACACCATTTTTAGCTCACCTGGTCCGAAGGACCATGGTGAGCTTATGCCATACCGCAGCGTCCGTCGTCCGTCAACTTTTCCTTTAAAACGCTACTAGTACTGAACGGCCAAGTAGATTTTGACTAAATTTGGTCTAGAGTATCCTTAGGCCAAGGGGACTCAATTTTGTATAAACGGTGGGTGTGGCCCCCCTGGGGGCAGCGGGGCGGGGCCCAATAGGGGAAATAGAAGTAAAACCTTGAAAATCCTCCTTCTACCGTAGGGATTAAAGGATTTTATCCTAATTTAATCTGGAGCATCCTTGGCCCAAGGGGACTCAATTTTGTATAAGCGGTGGGTGTGGCCCCCCTGGGGGCAGCGGGGCGGGGCCCAATAGGGGAAATATAGCAAATTCTCTAAAATCCTTCTTCTTCTGTCGGAATGAAAGGATTTGTTCCATATTTGGTGTGGAGCATCCTTGGGTAAAGGGGAACCAATTTTGTATAAATGGTGGGTGTGGCCCCCCTGGGGGCAGCGGGGCGGGGCCCAATAGGGGAAATAGAAATAAAACCTTTATAATCCTTCTTCTACCATATGGATTGAGGGATTTTATCCTAATTTAGTCTGGAGCATCCTTGGACAAAAGGGACTCAATTTCGTATAAACAGCGAGTATGGCCCACCTGGGGATAGAAGGGAGGGGCCCAATAGGGGAAATAGAGGTAAAACCTTTTAAATCCTTCTTCGACCATCGCGATTAAGGGATTTTTTCCATATTTGGTCTGAAGCATCCTTGGGTGAAGTGGAACCAATTTTGTATAAATGGTGGGTGTGGCCCCCCTGGGGGCAGCGGGGCGGGGCCCAATAGGGGAAATATAGCAAATTCTCTAAAATCCTTCTTCTTCTGTCGGAATGAAAGGATTTGTTCCATATTTGGTCTGAAGCATCCTTGGGTGAAGTGGAACCAATTTTGTATAAACTGTGGGTCTGGCCCCTCAGGGGCCTGAGGGGCAGGCCCAATAGGGGAAACATAGCAAATTCTTCAAATACCTTCTTCTTCTGTACGAAAGACAGGATTTTGTCCAAATTTGGTATGAAGCATCATTGAGTGAAGGGGAACCAATTTTGTATAAACGGTGGGTGTGGCCCCCCTGGGGGCTGGGGGGCGGGGCCCAATAGGGGAAATAGAGGTAAAACCTTTTAAATCCTTCTTCGACCATCGAGATTAAGGGATTTTTTCCATATTTGGTCTGGAGCATCCTTGGACCATTAGGGGTCTCAATTTTGTATAATTGGTGGGTATGACCCCCCTAGGGGAATAGGGGTGGGGCTCTGTTTGAAGTTTGTTCTCGCTATATCTCAAGTACTGGATGGATCTTTCTGAAATTTCATATGTACTTACAGCACCTACTATGGAGTGCTATATCTTTACTTCATACCAATTATTTTAAACATATTCAGGTGAGCGATACAGGCCCTCTGGGCCTCTTGTTATAAATCATTACAGTGTAATAGCTAGCGGGAGCCGGTAGGGGACATGTATTGCTTTAGCAATACTCAGTATGCTTGTTTAATTTGTCCTTTGAAAGATTGCGCAAATGTTTTAAGTCCAATTGATCCAAAACACAATAATTTTCATTATGATTTATCACTCACTTAATCATCCCATAGATCTGTTTGTTCAAATCTGACATGTCAATAGTGGTTCCGTTACTGTTAAATTCAAGATTTTTTGTCATTTCTAAAACAGTTTTTTCTTCACTTACCTCATGAAATTACTACCTGTAAAAACTGTCATTACCGCTTGAGTCTATGCCATCCACGATTGGTTTTGCAGTGATCACATTGTCAGTCATGATTGTCTTAGAAAACTCCCACAACATCATCATTTATCACATAAAACTCCCACAACATTATCATTAATCACAGAAAACTCCCACAACATCATCATTTATCACATAAAACTCCCACAACATTATCATTTATCACAGAAAACTCCCACATCATCATTTATCACAGAAAACTCCCACAACATTATCATTTATCACAGAAAACTCCCAAAACATTATCATTTATCACAGAAAACTCCCACAACATCATCATCATTTATCACAGAAAACTCCCACAACATTATCATTTATCACAGAAAACTCCCACAACATCATCATTTTCCCCTGGAAACATGATTAGTTAGCACCATATTAAACAGGAAGTTCTGTTGCTGCAAGATCTTGCAAAAACATCGCAGATGCATGACTTGCTTCCGTATCGACAACATGGCAACTGTAACTAAATCTGGGAGGCTTGTTTGAATTGATACGAACATGGTCGTTTTGGGCCAGTTTGAGCATAAATGCACCCCTCTTGTGGTTTTGTAAGTGCATAGTGTACTTATTGGATCGAATACAGTATTGTTTTTTTATTTCAATTTTCATTTTGCCCATCTTTTCTAACTGTAGGCAGAAAGTTACAAGGATCGTATCCTCAGACCAAGAGAGGAGGCTAAGAAGCGACAGAAGGAAGAAGACTACTACAAGTTCATGGGTCCAGCCTGGAAAGGGGAGGGACAAATCCTGGGTGTAAGTGATCAGCATATGTTTATACTTATTATTTCACAACCTTTTGTTGTGTCTATTTGTTGGCAAGCTCCTGACAAGATCAGAGGGAATTATGTTTCTGTCCATTTTATTAGCTCACCTGGCCCGAAGGGCCAAGTGAGCTTATGGCATGGTGTGGCTTCCGTCGTCCGTCCGGCGTCCGGCGTCCGTCCGGCGTCAACTTTTTACTTTAAACAACTTCTTCTCAGTAACCAATAGGCCTAGGGTGATGATAGTTGGCCAGTAACATGCAGGGATGAATGGCTACCAATTTTGTTCAAATAAATGACCTTGACCCACTTTCAAGGTTACAGGGGTCAAATATGTTTTAAACCTTTAAACAACTTTTTCTGAATAACCGAGAAGCCTAGGGTGATGATATTTGGCTAGTAGCATGCTGGGATGAAGAGCTATAAAGTTTGTTCAAATGAATGACCTTTGTCTTTTTTCAAGGTAACAGGGTCAAATATGTTCTAAACCTTTAAACAACTTCTTCTGAATAACCAAGAGGCCTAGGATAATGCCAGTAACATGATGCTGGGATGAAGGACTACCAAGTGAATTACCTCCACCCATATTCAAGGTCACAGTGGTCAATATATGTTTAAATCTTTAAATGATTTGTTCTGTATAACCAAAAGGTCCAGGGTAATGATATTTTTCCAGAAGTGTGCTGGGTTGAAAGACTATAAACTCTGTTCAACCTAATATTACAATGTCCTTGTTCGACATTCAAGGTCACAGGTGTCATATGTTTAAATATTTTAATAGGTTCTTATGAATGAAACACTGATATTTTGCCTGTAGCTGTATTTTAGTCCACTTTTGTAAGATTACAAGTGTGAGATTAATACCAGGTGAGTGATGCAGGCCCATTGGGCCTCTCGTTTCATCACACTTTCAGACTCTACAGTTGATCCGATATCATAAAAGCTACTGTTTTGATACTGTTGTAAAAGTTCAGATAAAATGTACATAGTTAACCAAATTTATGCTATGTCCAAAGTTATAGAGCACAGTCATTACATTTTTAGCATAAATTCAGCATAAATGTACCACTTGATGCAGCTGCTACTGTCCATGACCTGATGTAGGGAAATATTTATTCTGAGTGATGAAAACATGTTGATAGGTGTGTCCCTATTCAAATCTAATGAGTATTGTTAAAGTCTGTTAAAGAGATGCTACCTTGAAGCAAGGCTGCACTGTCTGTTTCAGTCTTACAATGCTTCCAGGTATTGGCCGTTGGTCAGTGGTTTTTCTCCTCAAATTTTGGGTTACCCAAGCTGCAATATACATGTAGTAGAAATGGACTGGGTCGATCATCTGCAACCAGGTAACTCAATTGGTAGAGCGTCTGTCTAGAGTTAGGAAAATCTCGGGTTTGAATCCCGGTCTGGCTGTGCATTTTTCTCGCCTGTTACATCTAAATATATATATTTAATTATATATATCTGCATAAGATATGCAAACCTATTTTGATGAGTGGATGTATGACTGAACAGTGATACAGGGTTTGATCAACAGCTGATAGAGTAAAGGAGTTATAATTGCCTATGTTAACAGTGGTCACGTGGAAGCCATTCATTATTTACCAGCTCACATTAACAATGGCTGGTGTTATGTGTGTATACCTCTGTCACAGTAAAGATGTAGGTTCTAGCTCGGCTGTTGTGTATCTGTTTCTGGTGGAATAGTATAGATCTGTCACAGAATATTATATTCTCATAGCTAGATCTGTCACAGAATATTATATTCTCATAGCTAGAAATGTCACAGAATATTATATTCTCATAGCTAGAGATGTCACAGAATATTATATTCTCATAGCTAGAGATGTCACAGAATATTATATTCTCATAGCTAGAGATGTCACAGAATATTATATTCTCATAGCTAGAGATGTCACAGAATATTATATTCTCATAGCTAGAGATGTCACAGAATATTATATTCTCATAGCTAGAGATGTCACAGAATATTATATTCTCATAGCTAGAGATGTCACAGAATATTATATTCTCATAGCTAGAGATGTCACAGAATATTATATTCTCATAGCTAGAGATGTCACAGAATATTATATTCTCATAGCTAGAGATGTCACAGAATATTATATTCTCATAGCTAGAGATGTCACAGAATATTATATTCTCATAGCTAGAGATGTCACAGAATATTATATTCTCATAGCTAGAGATGTCACAGAATATTATATTCTCATAGCTAGAGATGTCACAGAATATTATATTCTCATAGCTAGAGATGTCACAGAATATTATATTCTCATAGCTAGAGATGTCACAGAATATTATATTCTCATAGCTAGAGATGTCACAGAATATTATATTCTCATAGCTAGAGATGTCACAGAATATTATATTCTCATAGCTAGAGATGTCACAGAATATTATATTCTCATAGCTAGAGATGTCACAGAATATTATATTCTCATAGCTAGAGATGTCACAGAATATTATATTCTCATAGCTAGAGATGTCACAGAATATTATATTCTCATAGCTAGAGATGTCACAGAATATTATATTCTCATAGCTAGAGATGTCACAGAATATTATATTCTCATAGCTAGAGATGTCACAGAATATTATATTCTCATAGCTAGAGATGTCACAGAATATTATATTCTCATAGCTAGAGATGTCACAGAATATTATATTCTCATAGCTAGAGATGTCACAGAATATTATATTCTCATAGCTAGAGATGTCACAGAATATTATATTCTCATAGCTAGAGATGTCACAGAATATTATATTCTCATAGCTAGAGATGTCACAGAATATTATATTCTCATAGCTAGAGATGTCACAGAATATTATATTCTCATAGCTAGAGATGTCACAGAATATTATATTCTCATAGCTAGAGATGTCACAGAATATTATATTCTCATAGCTAGAGATGTCACAGAATATTATATTCTCATAGCTAGAGATGTCACAGAATATTATATTCTCATAGCTAGAGATGTCACAGAATATTATATTCTCATAGCTAGAGATGTCACAGAATATTATATTCTCATAGCTAGAGATGTCACAGAATATTATATTCTCATAGCTAGAGATGTCACAGAATATTATATTCTCATAGCTAGAGATGTCACAGAATATTATATTCTCATAGCTAGAGATGTCACAGAATATTATATTCTCATAGCTAGAGATGTCACAGAATATTATATTCTCATAGCTAGAGATGTCACAGAATATTATATTCTCATAGCTAGAGATGTCACAGAATATTATATTCTCATAGCTAGAGATGTCACAGAATATTATATTCTCATAGCTAGAGATGTCACAGAATATTATATTCTCATAGCTAGAGATGTCACAGAATATTATATTCTCATAGCTAGAGATGTCACAGAATATTATATTCTCATAGCTAGAGATGTCACAGAATATTATATTCTCATAGCTAGAGATGTCACAGAATATTATATTCTCATAGCTAGAGATGTCACAGAATATTATATTCTCATAGCTAGAGATGTCACAGAATATTATATTCTCATAGCTAGAGATGTCACAGAATATTATATTCTCATAGCTAGAGATGCATAACTGAACAACTATAATCAATGAAAATAGAAATGATGAGCAACAACACCACTGAATCGGGTACAAAATAAAACAAGGATCGATGTTAATTTAACATAATATTTTGTACCAGATTCCGTGGTGTTGTTGCTCATCATTTCTATTTTCATTTGCACTGTTTTCCCTGATGAGCACAGTTGAATACCATTAACTCTTTCCGTACCGTTGTCGTGTACACACAACACAATATGTCATCTGGTCCCCGTTGTCGTGTACAGACAACAAAATAAAGGGCCGTCTCATCCCCGTTGTCGTGTACACACGACAAGAGACTTTGATGTAACCTGCCTAATGTTTAGATGGTTATCGCACGAGACTGTCGCGAAAAAACATTTAATTGTCGCTAAAATCAAAACCCATCAGTTTGGAAGAAATTATTTTATTTGTGCAGAGTACATTTTTTAGCTCACCTGGCCCGAAGTGAGCTTATGGCATGGTGCGGCGTCCGTCGTCCGTCCGTCCGTCGTCCGTCCGTCGTCCGTCCGTCCGTCGTCAACATTTTACTTTAAACAACTTCTTCTCAGTAACAATAAGGCCTAGGGTGATGATATTTGGCCAGAAGCATGCTGGGATAAAGGGCTACCAAGTTTGTTCAAATAAATGACCTTGACTTATATTCAAGGTCACAGGGGTCAAATATGTTTAAAACCTTTCAACAACTTCTTCTGAATAACCGGTAGGCCTAGGGTGATGATATTTGGCCAGAGGCATGCTGGGATGAAGGGCTACCAAGTTTGTTCAAATAAATGACCTTGACTTATATTCAAGGTCACAGGGGTCAAATATGTTCAAAACCTTTCAACAACTTCTTCTGAATAACCGATAGGCCTAGGGTGATGATATTTGGCCAGAAGCATGCAATGTTTGTTCAAATGAATGACCTTCACCAATATTCAAGGTCACAGGGGTCAGATAAACAACATCTTTTCAATAACCAAAATGCTCAGGTTGATGATATTTGACCAGTAGCATGCTGAAATGAAGGGCTACAAAGTTTGTTCAATGAATGACCTTCACTTATATTCAAGGTAACAGGGGTCAGTTGTTAAAAAAGACCTTTAAACAACTTCTTCTGAATAACCAAAAGGCCCAGGCTGTTGATATTTAGTCAGTAGCATACTAGGATGATGTACTACCAAGTTTGTTAAATGAATGACCTTGAATCAAATTCAAGGTCACAAGGAGTAAATATGTTCAAAATCTTTAAACAAATTGTTCTGAATAACCAAAAGGCCCAGGATGTTGATATTTGGTCAATAGCATGCTGGGAACCAGGACTACCATGTTTGTTAAAGTGAATGACTTTGACTAATATTCAAGGTCATAGGGGTCAAATTTGTTTAAAATCTTTTA